TCCAAAGAATACAAAAACACTAATTCAAAGGGATACATGCACCCCTGTGTTTATTACAGCATCATTTACAATAGTCAAATTATGGAAGCAGCTCAGGTGATTGGATAAAGGAGTGATTTTACATATATAAAAAAAGTGATTATATGTGTGTGTGTGTATGTACACACACATATACAATGAGATATTATACATCCATTAAAAAGAATGAAATCTTTCTATTTGCAACACTATGCATAGAGCTAGACAGTATAATGCTTAGCACAATAGGTCAAAGACAAATACCATGTGATCCTATTTGTATGTGGAATTTAAGAAACAAAGTAAATGAGCAAAGGAAAAAAAGAAACCAAGAAACAGACTCTTAGCTATAGAAAACAAAAACTATAGAAACAAGGGGTGGAATGAGGAAAATAGGAGATGGAGATTACAGGATACACTTTTCATGATAAAAAAAAAAAGATTAAAAAAAGAAACCATACTATGCTAAAAAAAAGAGAGGAATTGGAGAATTAAGTTAAATGTATCCTAAGGAGTTAATAAGGTAAATTCATAATGCAAAACATTCTTTAAAACAACTACCCAGTCTCTTTAAAAAGTTAATGCCATTAAGAGGGGGTGGGGGAGAAGGTCTGGAAAACTTGCAGATTAAGATTTTTAAAGATGTGACAAACCCAATGCAGTGTGTTATCCTTGATTGGATTCTAGACTGAAAAACATTCTGAGAACAAATGGACAATTAAGGAAATTTGAATGTGGAATGGATATTATTTTACATTAAGGAACTGTTAATTTTCTTAAATGTGAAAATGTGAAAAATTAGACAAGTCCTTATTTTTAGGAGATGGATGCGAAAGTATTTAGGATTATATTTTTATGATGTCTGATTACTTTGAATGGTTTGTTAAGGGAGGGAGAGAGGATTGAGGACAATCTGGTTGAGACATCTGTCACCCCATTGATGACCAAGGTTGATTGGACTGATCTGGCTGGACAGGTGGGTGTCCCCTTTCTCTCTCACAACTCCATATGTGTCCCTCCAAAAGTTGTGTGCTGGGTTGAGGAGGACGACCTTCCCTATAGAGGAGGATCATTCTTCAGTCAAAGGGTATACAAGTAGTTCTGCTCCCCTGCTAGAACCTCCAAACAAGCTCTCAAGGTCCGATTGTAGAAGGCAGGGTAGTCAAGTTTCCAAGACTTCAGACACATCCAAATAAGGTGCTGCATGTGGCAGTCGCCTTTAAAAAAAGAGGTGGGGGGGGGGAAGAAGAAGTAAATGTGGCATGATGTTTACTTTTGAATCTAAGTAGTAGGTATTTGGGTCTTTGTAGTATTCCTTTTATTTGTATGTATGTTTAGAATTTTTCATATTAAAATAATAAGAATCTAAAATGAATGTCAGATGTGCTTCTATTAAAACCCTGAATTGGCTTCTCATTTTCTAAGATAAAGAGCTTACAGTGGCCTGGAAGACCCTATTTAATTTGTTCCTTGTCCTCATTTTTCTTACTTGATCTTTTACTACTCTCTCCCTCACTCTCTCTGCTTTAATCATACTAGCACTTTCTCACCTTAAGACCTTTGCTTTAATTCTTCTTGGAACTTTTTACTTCTACATCATCACTCATCTAATTTCTTCTTCACCTGCAGTCTTTACTTAAATCTCACCTTTTCTGGGGCGCCTGGGTAGCTCAGTCAGTTGAGCGACCAACTCTTGATTTCGGCTCACATCATGATCTCACAGTTCTGTGTTGGAGCCTGCTTGAGAGTCCCTCTCTTTCTCTCTCTCTCAAATTAAAACAAAACAAAACAAAACACTGAAACCTACTTCCTCTTATCTTCCCAGTTTTCCTCACCCTGCTCTACTTATTCTTTTTTTTCAGTACTGACCACTTTCTAATGTACTATATAATTTATCCGTGTTTTGTATTTACTGTTTATTGTCTGTGCCCTCACAGACCTGGGTCTAGTCTGAGGCAAATGAGTCACTTGCCTGAGGTGCAAAATTTAAGCCCCCCCCACACACAAAAGACCCCTCCATAATTAAGATAAATAATTCAATACAAGTTTTTTTAATGAAAAAATTGATGCAAAAGAAATCCTAATAGCATTTTAAAGAGAAACAGAATCTGATAGGCCATTTTGGAACCTGAGGCAAAAGGCAAAAATATGTGCCTATAAATATACCTTTTAATGTATTTTTTAATGGTTAGTAGTTTTGATGAAAACATTATTGATGAGATGCTTCCATGAAAGCCAGAAAAGTAAAATTATAATAAATTCATGTTTTGGTATAAATAGAATATTTAACCTTAAAATAATGTTGTGAGTTTTAGTATATACTTTTAAAATTCTCAGTATTTTTTCAACTACTTTGTTATTCTGGAAAAAGTTAACCATTAAGAATTTTTGTTTGTTTTTTGTTTTATTTACTTTTGAGAGAGAGAGAACGTGAGCAGGAGAAGGGCAGAGAGAGAGTGAGACACAGAATCTGAAGCAGGCTTCAGGCTCTGAGCTGTCAGCACAGAGCCCAGTGCGGGGCTCAAACCCATGAACCATGAGATCATGACCTGAGCTGAAACCAAGAGTCAGACACTTAACCAACTGAGCCACCCAGGTGCCCCCAGAAATGTATTTCTTTTAAGAAACATGTATTGAGGTTCATATTTTTCCTTTTGCTTAAGGCTGTAATAGTAGTATTAATTTCTCTCTTTATTTAAATTTTTGATATTTTGCTTATCATGAAAGTTTTTACATTGAATAGGTTTTTTTTTTTTAATGTTGTATTTCTCTTGATTACGGAGGTTTTGTTGCAGCCTTAAATTTTGCATCTGAGGTGAGTGCCTCACTTGCCTCACTCTTCTTCTTGTCCTGTTACCTCATTTGAAGGTAGAGTTATGCACAAGCAAGGATCTTTTTCTTACTCACTGCATATCTCTAATGCCTAGACCAGTGCTGGCACATGGTAGACATTCAGTAAATATTTGTTGAGGGAATAAATAAACACAAATCCACTATAAATTATTTTATATCACAAAATGTTTCAAAGTCCAAGAAATGTTTTAACTATATTTTCTCTGTATTGCCTACTCACTCAATTATGGAATTAAATCTATACAGGCACTTTGATTTATAGTTCATGAATTATAGAAATATTGACAGAATTTACTTTGTTTATAAAAACAAAGTAAAAATGTTTAGTTCAATAAATATTTTTTCTCCTGTAAAATATTAATGCATTTATATAAAGGATAAGGTCATATTTACTAAAGGCTTCTGAAAGTTTTACAAATATTTAATCATGTAGCTATTAAATATTATAGTATTAATAGTATAGTGTAGGGGTGCCCAGTTAGCTCAGTCGTTAAGTGTCCGGCTCTTGATTCTGGTTCTGGTTATGATTTCACAGTTCGTGAATTCAAGCCCAACACTTGGGATTCTCTCTCTCCCTCTTTCTCTGTTCCTACACTGCTTGCGCTCTCTCTCTCTCAAAATAAATAAACTTAAAAAAAAATAGTATAGTGTAGTGTTAGCTGTGAATAGTATAGTATAGTTAGGAAATTATCTTTTAAATGCTCTGGTATTCAAAATACAGCATATGGCAAACTTCAAACTACAGCAGATCTATACACACATCAAATGTATAGAAGTAATTTACTTGGTCTATAAAAACAACTTGAGCAAAACATTCAGTTCAAGAACCAATTTTATCTCCTATAAAAATTACTAATATTAATGGTAGGTCATAATCAAATTTTTAAAGTTTTATTCAGGTATTTAATACTGTAAAGTATAATCATTTGAGTTTTAATATGCAATGAATAACAAACTTCATTAGACTAAAAGATAAGACTATATTTGCTCTAATTGTTTTGTTTCTGTTGTGGTAATCTAAATATTCATCTAAGTGGAAGGATTCTAATTGAGGTTTAACAAAACATTAATAGAAAAGAAAATGGTATTGGGGCACCTGGGTGGCTCAATCGGTTGGGTGTCTGACTTTGGCTTAGGTCATGAACTCATGGTTGATGAGTTCCAGCCCCATGTCGGGCTCTGTGCTGACAGCTTGGAGCCTGGGGCCTGCTTCAGATTCTTTGTCTCCCTCTCTCTTTGCCCTTCCCCTGCTTGTGCTCTGTTTCTCTCAAAAATAAATAAACATTAAAAATAACTTTTTAATGTTTAAAAAAAAAGAAAATAGTATTTATTAATTTTTTAAAGTTTATTTATTTTATTTGGAGAGAGAGCATGAAAAAGCAGAGAGAGAGAGAGGGAGAGGGAGAGAATCCTAAGCACGCCCTGCACTGTTAATGCGGAGCCAGATGTGGGGCTCAAACCCAGGAACCCATGAGATCATGACCTGAGTCCAAACCAAGAGTCGGACGCTTAATCCACTGTGCCACCCAGGTGCCCCCAAGAAAATGGTATTAAAAGTACAGATAAGCTAAGCTGGCAGACATGCCCTACACAAGAACAACCATTTCTTCCCCCATCACTGTCAGGAATAGGTTCTTCCTAGAATTCTGGGAAACAAAAATATTTCCCAGACCACAGTTGAGAATTGCACAGTTGCAGTTGCTGAGAAATAGCAATCATCACAACAATGTTAGGGAAACAATATGTAAAGTATAAGGATTCCACAAGATCACTATAACAGAACTGAGTAGGTGGGGTCAAGGGAGAGGGAAAGGTTGGTAATCAGAAAACTGATCTTGGTGGTCTGCGACTCTTACTTCAAGCCACAGAAAGAACACTGTATGTCAGGGATGTTATGGTACCTTAAGACCACATCTATGACATTGTTTCTAGGGAGAAGATGTGCTGTAAGTGCCAAGTAGCCAACTTAAAATTTTGGCTCTTCATTTTCTTTTTTGTGTTTGTTCAGAAGGATACATGTATTCCATGTTTATTTCAATTATGATTATTAACTTTAAAATTCTAGAGGACATCAGTTGATTTTTTCCATTTTAAAAATATTTTAACTGATGTCTTCTCAATTTATTCAGTTGGTGGAACTTCATGTTTTTTATGTCCCTGAAGGATCATGGAACTATAAGCTAAATACCATTTCAATAGAAGTTGTTAACAAATTCATTTCAGCTGGATTTATAAGGCAAGTATTTTGTGGTCATGTTATGATGTGCCTGAAAAAACAATCTCTTTTTTTTTTTTTTTCTGCAGAGAAAAATGGGTTGTTTTTTTTTGTTTGTTTGTTTGTTTGTTTTTTTGAAATTTAGATTATAAGTGAAAAATTCTGGTCCATGTTATGGATCCAGTTTCTAACTTAATACTATCAATAAATAATGTTATATAACAGTTAATAAGTACTGGAAGAACAGATGTCACTTAACCATAATACTGCCACCCAGAAAAGGTATAACTGGTATATTACTGTGGTTACACACAAAAAGAATATAGAGAGAAATTATCTGAAATTAGAAACCTGTTGAAAAGCTGTGAATAGTGGTTAAACCAGTGTATCCACAATGACTTTTTCAAAAAGAAACAGAATATAAGTATATGTGTGTGTACATTTATATGTATGTGTATTTTCACATTCACAGAAGCATACATGACATTATTCCTTATCTTCCCCATCACTTCAAGCATACCAGTCTCTTTTCTGTTCTAGAACACATCAGACATGGACCTCAGGACACTTGTACTTGCTGTTCTCTTAATCTAGAATGCTCTTTCAGCCCTTATGTATCCTATCTCACTCATCTTCAGGTCTTTACTCCAATATTACTTTTTTGTTTAGATCTCTGATCACTATATTTTAAACTGTAGCTACGCTTCCTTCTCTGCTTTACTTTTCTCCATAGTACTTAGCAATGTCTTATAATTTATATGTTTTTCTTACTTTGTTAATTTTTTCTTTCCCATCATTAGATTGTAAAGTCTGTAAGGGCAGAGATTTTTGTCTCTCGTTGATTGCCGTATTCCCATTCCTTAGAACAATGCCTGACACATACTGGGTGCTCAGTAAATACTTGTTGGTTGAATGAATTAGTTATATAATGTTTCCCATAAGATCCTAGAATAACAAGAACTCAAAAAAATAGCATAAATGATGGCTTTAAATTTTAGATTTTGAGTGATGAAGTATCCCCAAATGAGCAAAAGTGTAGAGTCTGACAACATTTGATCATCAAAGAAATTTTTAAGCACCAGCTAGTCTTGTCAAACTTCCAAAATAATTATCTGTGGGTAAATCATTCTTTAATATATGTGTAAAAAATATGTAAGTTCCATAACAAAGATTTTTAAAAAATAATACCATTTAGATGTGGATGAGAAAAATAGGCAAGCATTTTCCTTTCAGTACAGAAAGGGCTTTTGTAAACAGTATTTATTTGTATAATCATTTTTTAAAATTTCCTGAAGTTTTACAAAGTGCCAGGCAATATAAAACCACAATATATTAAGTCATATATGATATATTAAATTAGTATTTATTTTTGAGATAGCTGACTAATGTTATCAAATGTGTAGTATAGCTGAAACCTATTTCATTTTACATTATAAAGCAATGTCATATTTCAGAGTATCTCCTCACCTTACTTTACAAGCCCTGAGAGAGCGTCTCAGTGAGTTCCTTGGTGAAGATGCTGTTGCAGAAAAATTTTTATTTCTGAAATGCATTGGAAATAATCTAGCTGTGGTAAGTTTTCTTATTTTTTCTTTTTGATTAAAGAAAGCATACCTTAAGAAATTATGTTTCTTAAATGCTTATCAACTCAGCTTCTTAACATGAGATAAGTAATATCAATCATAATGAAATGACAGTATAACTAAATACATAGATCATTAAGAAAAGATGGGTTGTGGGGCACCTGTGTGGCTCAGTTGGTTGAGCAACCAACTAGGGCTAAGGTGATGATCTTAAGGTTCCTGAGTTCCTGAGTTCAGAATGAGCCCTGCGTCTGGCTCACTGCTGTCAGCTCAGAGCCCTTTTTGGAACCTCTGTTCCCTCTCTCTCTACCCCTTTCCCACTCGTTCTCTCTCTCTCTCTCTCAAAAATAAACATTAAAAAAACAAGATGGGTCTTATTAGCATATTATTGGACACTAAAATGATGGGGATATTTTCAGGTGTGCGTTTCCTTGGGAAGAAAAGGAAGACAAAATTAAAATGTGATTGTATAAGTAATATGTATTTTTAAATTTTTTTTTTTAAAATTTTTTTTTCAACGTTTATTTATTTTTGGGACAGAGAGAGACAGAGCATGAACGGGGGAGGGGCAGAGAGAGAGGGAGACACAGAATCGGAAACAGGCTCCAGGCTCTGAGCCATCAGCCCAGAGCCTGATGCGGGGCTCAAACTCACGGACCGCGAGATCGTGACCTGGCTGAAGTTGGATGCTTAACCGACTGTGCCACCCAGGCGCCCCTGTATTTTTAAATTTAAATGATAGGTTTAAAAACATTTTAAATAAGTACTTGTGTTCTGGACAGAAATGGATCCTCATTGTTTGGGCCACAGCTAGCTTCATTTGGTGTGAAATGATAGGACTCCAGCATATGTACATATATTTTGGGGGGTTTCAGCTATTATCTCTTGAACAATCCTATTTGTAGTTTCTGTGATTTAATGGCAGGCTTTTCTCAGTTTCTCCAGCTGAAATTCTTAATTCTTAAGCCATTGGATCTCAAAAGTTTCTGGTTTCTCATATCAACATGAGGTTTCTTTCTTTAATCAAGACTTTCCATGTTTAAACAAAAAGTCAGTATATTCCTATTCCACTCTGGTTAACATATTATGTCATTATTATGTATTTATGTGATTATGTATTTAACATCTGACTCTGCCATTAGACTATAGCTTCCTGTGAGCAGGGACTTTATTTTATTCACTATTGTATTTATACAGTACCTAGCAAGGTGTTTAGCTCTTAAAGACATCTAAATGTTTATTGGACAAATAATGAATGATAATGGAAAAAAAATAAACATTTCCCTCCAAAGTAGTACTATTAAGGAATTTTCTATGTGGAATTCTCAGGATCAGCAGCTAGATTTGAAGTTTTTGTCACTTGAGTTCTATTCAGTATGGTAGATTCTTAATTTACTCATTAAGTTTTTCTCAAAGAAGAATAAGAACAGTTCTCATAACTTTTTATTCTTTTTCATGATATCTAAAATTACACAATATCAATCACAGAATCCTAGGTTGGAAGGTAATTTAAGTGAACTTCCAAAATTCTTCTAATATTTTACTGTTTTCAACAAATATTTATTGATGTTTTTCTACAAACAAAATGAGAAAAAAGAATTGGATATGGATCCTTCCCTTAAAGAGTATTCAGTGTAGTGGTGGAGAGAAATTAAATTAGCATATTTTGTATATTCAGAAGAAAAAGGGATTACTTCCAGCAGGAGAAGAGGGGAGATGGAGAACTTTGACAAAGAAGAGGTATATTCAGTTTGGAGTTTGTAAGATAAATACTTGATCTTGCAAAGATGTTGGGTGGGGAAAGCTTTCTGAGAAGAGAAAATAGAATGAGCAGCATAGTGGAAAAAGCAGGCAGCTAAGAAAGAGTGGAGTTTTTCTTTTTTTTAATTGGAACATGGTGTGAAAAGAAATAGTAGAGAACAAGTTGTAAAGTCATTTGCTGAAGTTCTTGAATGCCAGATTAATGAGTTTTGTTTGTTTCTGAAGCATTGGAGTTTTTGATCAAAAGGTGACATGATGAGAGCCTTAAGAGACTAGAGGCAGGGTTTATAACTAGGAGACTTGCCGTGGTTAGGCCAGAGATACGGAGGGCCTAAGGAATAAGCTGCTTCTTAGATTTCATCTACTGCTATTTTTCTCCTTGATTTTCCATTTTAACCACAAAAATCTTTGTGTGGTCCTCAAATATAGCAAACTCTGTTCTGATTTATGTTCTTTGAACTTGCCTGGAAATTACTTCCCCTTGATTTTCAAATAGCTTGCTTCATCTTTTCATAATTCAAGTCTCAAGCTCAAGTATTATCTTTTCCAAAGGGCCTTCTCTGACCACCTACTTTTTAGATATTCTAACTCTTAAATTACTCTGTATTCCATCACTCTTTTGTTTTCATAAATCACATATCACTGTTCTAAATCATGTTTCTTTAACATCTGTTCTCGTAAGTAGAATAGAAGCTACATGAAAGCAAGAACTCTGCGTTGTTTACTGTTATATCTCCTACCATAGAGAATACTGCCTGACCCATAGTATGCCCTCAATATTTGTTGAATGAATGAATGGATGGATGGATGAATAACAGATGAACTCCATGGGTTATATATTTAGGAAATAAAGTATACAGCTTTGGACTCTGAAGCCAGATTTCCTGGTTTTGAGTCCCAACTTGGAAACTTCCTAGTTACAACATCATGGACAAGTTATTTAACTTCTCTTTGCCTCACTCTTGTTGTCTGTGAACTAAAACGTGTGCCCATCACATGGAACTGTGGAGATTAACTGAGCTATTACATGTAGGGCACTTAGAATAGTGCTTAGCATATACTGAGTCCATGCAAGTGATAGCCATAGTCATTATGACTAAATGACATGGAATTTCTTTTATGTTTTGTACAGTGAATAGAAATAGGATTATAGTCTACATTTTCTAGACTCTAACCTCAATTATCAGCTTTTAAGTTTGATTTGTATGTCACAGATATGTGCCTTCTGCAAAAAAAAAAAGTTGGACTAAAAATAATTGAAAACATACAAAAGCTTTATTTTTTTTCCTCATTTATTTGTTTCTAGGTGAAGGCAAAGCAAGAATCAGAACTGAAACTCAAGTCATTTGTTCCTCCATATGTATGTAATGTGACATTTTAAACTTATGTTAATTTTTTAACTTAACTGTTTTTTAAATTACAAGCTAATTTTTTTAATTTCCTATGTGTTTTAGGCTCTTCAGCCAGAATTATATTTGCTTCCTATAATGGATCACTTAGGAAATATTTATTCAGCATCAACAGTTTCTTTAGATGAGCGGCAGACTAATACCGGTGTTGCTGAGGCTGATGGAATAATCCACAGACCAGTTAGTGTAACTTTGGTGAAGGAAGAACCTGGAACAGATCCCAGTTTTTTAGTAAACACTTTGAAAGAGCTTCTTAACAAGAATCGAGAAGAAGGTGATTTCAACTGGAATGGGAAAAACAAAGAGGTTATTATAGTACATTTTAGTAGTCAGGTCGGTGAGCAAATTCTGGGCAAATCTAGCCTTACAAATGTGGCAAATCTAGCTTCCTTATAAAAGGAAAGCTACAAGTCCATTGGGGGATTTTTAAAAATAGTTTCACCAAGTGAGAGAAAAAAACGCAATTTAAGTACTATGTTAAAAATCAAGTCAAAATACTTATAGCACATAAATAAACTCCACTACCTTCTTTTATAATAGTTTCAGATAGTTAAGGCTGAAGGAGAAAGGAAGTGATTACTGCATAGAACCCTGGTATTATTACTATAAGTGAGAAGGATCTTAGCCACGAAAATAGTATCAAACAGAAGCAAAACAATTTTAATGCTGGGCAACATTTGTATTTCAAAGAATTGTAAATTTTTATCTGATTACTTTCATCAATTAATTCAGTTCTTAAAAAGTGGTAGATAATTAAACAAATATATAAAGGTGGAACTATTGTCTAAGAACCTATTGAAAAAAATAATGCCTATGGGAAATAAACTGTGATGGAAAAGCAGATATATTAAATATTTATAACTGAAATGACCCCCACCCCCCAGTTAATGGCAACATCCATTACAGCTGCAAAATATAGACGTTCTTAACCACTAACATTTTTCTCCATCTTCAATGATAACCATTCTTATATTCTAAGTTTATGCTATATCCAATGATAATTCAAACTTAACACCTTCTTTAATCATAGGTCCATTTAGTATTTACTCTTCTGATGTGTTTTACTATTTCTGATGAGAAATGTGGATGAGATCCACCTACTTTATTATTTGATGTCAGCAAGATGCTCAGTGAGAATCTTTACTTCCTTCTTGATCGAGTCTTCTCTCTACTACAGTGTTAAATATTGCTTTCCAGTCATAATATCACTTAAAAGGTTAAAGGGAAAAAATACCTGGGAAAAAAATTCAGAGTGGAATCCCAGTATTCCTGAAAAGTACAAGGTCAAGTGATTGATGAAGTAGGCGATTGCCCCACATAAAGCTGTGAGTAGTGTCATATTTCATATCCTGGGCTACTGGCCAGATTCTTGAATTATGATATTTGCACAAAACCCAAAACAATCTTTGGTGAGAATATTTAACCCTTGAATTTTGTGAAAGTGTAGTTTTTAAATGGTATTAATATCTTGGTGCTTCACTTCAAAAAGTTTAATTATACTTTATAAGAGGCCAGCATGTGCTCATTTTAAAAAGTTCTAGATATAACAGTAACTATAAAGAAGATAACAATAATTTCACCATCCAGAGATGGCTTCTGTTAGTGTTCTGGCATATATTCTTTCAGTTATTTTTTTTTTTCAGTTCTTGTATATAATAAATATTTTTTTGGCTTTTAAAAATGAGGGCACATATGAACCCTTAAAGCCTCTTCTTGTATTTTAGAATATGTCATAAACATTTCATATCAATAAATATAGATCTACATCATTATAGAATTCCTTGTGGTATAATTTATGTATCCAACCCTGTGTTAGTGTTTTTGCTATTATGAATACTGCTGCAAGCAACATTTTTTTTAAGTACTTCATGCATTTGTCCTGTTATTTTTTAGAAGTTTAATGGCTGTTTCTAAGGCTGTATTTTTTGTTGTTCTTTTTCTTACAAGCACTTTCCAATCTTGTGTGTCTTTCTCTGTCACATCTTATTTCTTCCCCAATAACCTATTACTTTGATTTTTTGAGATAATTGTTTTCTTGCTTTTATTTATAGTTTTACCAACTGAATATGTATTTATTTTTTTAAAAAATTGTCTTCATTTACTCATTTTTGAGAGACAGAGACAGAGTGTGAGTGGAGGAGGGGCAGAGAGAGAGGGAGATACAGATCTGAAGCAGGCTCCAGTCTCTGAGCTTTCAACACAGAGCCCAACATGGGGCTCGAACTCACAGACTGAAAGATTATGAGCTGAGCCGAAGTAGGACGCTTAACCAACTGAGACACCCAGGCGCCCCTAAATATGTATTTCTTAACAATAGTTTAGTTTTGAATGTTTTTAATTTAATTTAGATGGACTCATATTGAAAGTATTTTATTTTTGACTTGTTTCTTTTGCTCAACATTATAAGATTCAGTCATGTTTCACATATAATACTATTTTTTTCATTGTTGTGTAATATTCCATTATAAGACTATACCATAATTTATCTGTTCTGATGATAGATATTTGGTTTATTGCCAGTTTAGGGTTATTACAAATATGTACATTCTTCTACATGACTCTTAAATGTATAGGTCCATGAGGATCTCAGAGAATGTAACTAACGTTGGCATTGTTTGCACATATTCAGCTTTGCAAATAATGCCCATGTGTTTTCCAGAGTGATTGTACCCATTGGCAATGTCTGAAAGTTCCTATTGAACCATAACTTGTCATCCTATCAGATATTTTCGGTCTCCTGTTTCTCTGCTTTAAGTTGTAGATAATTTCTGCGGATTTTTCTTCCAAATCTATTTTACTGATTCTCTCTTTAGTTGTGTCTTATCTGCTATTAAATCCTTACACTGAATTTTTAATTCCAAATATTTTACTTTTCTTTTCTAATGGTTCTCTTTGGTTGAACATGTTTTCATATGTTTATGGCCATTTGGATTTGCCTTTATTCAAATGTTTTGTCCATTTTCTTTCTTTTAAATATAGCTCCATTTTATATACATATATGTTTTTTCCACCATATGTGTGCATGCATGTGTGTGTGTGTGTGTGTTTGTATGTTTGTAAATAATTCATTCTAGATTTTAGTTTGTGGCTTCTTTTTTTTCTCTTTATGATTCTTTTGATGAAAGGAATTCTTAAATTTTGTCAACATGCTCTAAAATTACAAAGAAATGTGTTGACATCAACTCTTCATCAGTTTTGCTTTACATATTTGAAGCTGTTATTAGATGAGTGACATTTAGGATTATTATGTCTTCTTGATAAACTGACCCCAATGTAATTATACAATGTTTCTCTTTATTTCTGGTAATAGTTTTTATTTTAAAGGTTAATTGCTCTAATATTAATATAATTATTCTAGCTTTTATTTTTTAAGTTTATTTATTTTGAGAGAGAAAAAGCATGTGCATGTGATCGAGGGAGGGGCAGAGAGAGAGGGAAAAGAGAATCCCAAGCAGACTCTGTACTGATGGGGTGATCCCATGAACTGTGAAATCATGACCTGAGCCAAGATCAAGAGTCAGAGGCTTAACTGAGCCACCCAGGCACCCCTCTAGCTTTTTTTTGATTGGTGTTTGCATGGTATATCTTTCTCCATTGTTTTATCTGTTACTGAATATCCAAAGTGGGTTTCTTATAGACAGCATGTATTTAGATCTTACTTTTTAGTCCAATTTGGCAGTCTATGTCTTTTACTAGGGGTATTTATACCATTTACATTCATTGTAATTATTATTGATGTGGTTTGTCTTAAATCTACCAACTTGCTATTTATTTTCTATTTGTCTCATTTCTTCCATCTTCTATTTTTCCATTTTCTTGCCTCTTTCTTGATTGAGAAGTTTTTTGTGATTCAATTTTATCTCCACTATTGTCTCATTAGTTATTTCTCATTTTAGAAAACTTTTAGGTGCATCTGGGTGGCTCAATTTAACTGTCTGACTTAAGCTCAGATCATGATCTCGTGGTTCATGGGTTCAAGCCCCGTGTTGGGCTTTGTGCTGACAGCTCAGAGCCTGGAGCCTGCTTTGGATTCTGTGTGTGTGTCTCTCTCTCTGTCCCTCCCCAGCTCATGCTCTGTCTGTCTCTCTCTCAAAAATAAACATTAAAAAAAAATTAAAAAAAAAAAAAGAAAACTTTTAGTGGTTGCTATAAGGTAGAGGTCATCAAACATCTATATTTATACTTATTTTTTTAATATTTAAACTTTTTAATCTCTATTAATAATATATTAATATTATAATATCAATATGGAGCTCAAACTCAAAACCCCAAGATCAAGAGTTTCATGCTCCACTGATTAAGCCAACCGGGCACCCCTATTTTATTTTATTTTAATCCATGCCTTATGGATTGTTTTTTATAACCTTTTATTGGAACACAGCCATACCATTTTGTTTACATATTTTCAGTGACTGTTTTTATACTACAATGACAGATTTGAGGAGATGTGACAAAGACTCAGTGGTTCATAAGCCTGAAAAATTTATTATATGGCCTTTTAAGGAAAAGTTTACTACTCTTGCTCTAAACTATATACAGTACGCCTTTAAATTTGAAGTTTACTTTCAAATTGTATACAACTTCATATATAATTTAAGAACCTTACAGCAGTATTACTTCTGTTTTCTCCCCCAATTCCTTTGTGCTGTTGTCATATATTTTACTTCTGTATATAACTCCACAATACATTTTTACCATTTTTATTTTACACTGTTATCTTCTAAAGAATTTTAAAGTAAGGGAAAAATGATTTTTTATATTTAGGAGAGAGTTTCTTCCCCCTCCCCCAACCCAGTGGCAGTAAACCAATGCTTTGTATCAGTGCATGATCCTGGGGCCAAGATAATCCTTACAGCTTTTGCTTCTACCCTTCCTTCAGGCTTTGCCTAGGACTGGTGATGAGGTTTTCCACTCCTTCCTCAGTGGTAAGACTTCTCAAAGCTAATATTGTTGAAAGGGGAGTCACTTACTCTTCCTCCAAAGCAGATGGCTTTTGCCTCTGTTCCTCCTTGAGAACCAATACATTTTTGCCTGGGTCCTGAGATGGAAGAGTTTCCAGTTCCTCCCCAATTGGCTTAAGGCTTTTGCTTTGTGTGAAAGAAGAGTGTTGAGAAGGATGGAATGTCATACTTTTTTGCCACTGATGGCTCTCCTGCCAGGTCTCCTGCCCTGGCCCTAGTCTTTCATGTGAGCATATGATACACGCACCTGGAAGGGGATTTGCTATTAAGTATTGACTTCCCTTTGTGTCTGAAGATCCCAGAGATTCCAAACTATCCTCGTAGCCCACACTGGCCTTTAGAATTCCTTAAAATTTTAGCTGTTTTCTTATTTCTTTTAATAGCAGTTACCACTTCCTCCTGTGCTCTGCCAAAGATGAAACCATTTTCTCCTAGGAGGGAATTGGAATTCAATTCCCTACAACCATAATTCTCTGATGAATTCAAGAAAAGTTATTATTTTATTGATTATTTACCTTTTCTTCTTGTTCCAGTGGGAGCATTGTTTTCATCTTTCTATAATCCTGAGCACAAATGGAACTGCAGTTCTTACATTTTAATATAGTCAAGTTTATTGATATTTTCATTTATGGATAGTGTTATTTATGTCTTTTTTTTTTTTAAATCCCTTTTCTACCCTGAGGTCATGTATTGTCTTTCAAACATGTTTTGGTTTGCTTTTCCAATTCAGTTTATTAATCTACCTGGAACAAATTTTTATGTGTGATGTGAATAAAGTTCCTTAATTTTTTTCCCATATGTACACTTCCATTTGTTGATGGTAGTTGTATAGTTTCTTTAAAATACCAAATTACTCTTTAGTGGTGCATGAGAATGCAAAATATCTGAACTCTAATATTACATTGTCAAATATAGACAGTTACAATGCGCATAGTGGAGCACCTGGGTGGCTCAATCTGTTAAGCACCCAAATTTGGCTCAGGTCATGATCTCACAGCTTGTGAGTTCAAGCCCCGCATCAGGCTCTGTACTGACAGCTCAGAGCCTGGAGCCAGCTTCAGATTCTGGGTCTCCCTCTCTCTCTGCCCCTCCCCCCCCAAAAATAAACGTTAAAAAAAGTTTTTTAAAATAATGTGCATAGTATGTTTTACAAGTCCTTTAATGAAGGAGGAAAGAGTAATGCTTTACCATTTTCATATTGAAGTGGGTATTTCTTTCCATTAGTTGTCTTCTGTGCTTTCCCATGGGTCTGTGCTACACACCTCTACATTTTTGACATGCCTCAACTTTAATATATTTAATACTTGACTCCACTGTTGCCCCCAAACTAGTGTACTTTCTTGACTTCTTTGGTTTCATCACTCTTCCAGTTGTTTAAGCTTTGAAATAATCCTTACTGTAGACTAATACATATATATATACACACACACACACACATAAAGGAACCTTAAAAACCATATTGTAGCCCCCTTGCTTATAATCTGCTTTCCAGTCTATTCTGCAGAGTGCAGTCAGCATCATTCTTGTTACAAGCTGGATTATTTATCTCTTTGCTTAAAAACCTTTGGAAGACTCGTTGATTACTACTTAAGGCCCAAGTTCTTTAAGATGGCATTGAGAACCCTTTATATTCAGACTTCAAACCCAGGGTTGCAAATGTTTGGCCATGCAGATTGTTCACTACCTAATTCCAGAAGGCTTCCTTCACATAGATCATGATATGAATGGGGCTTTCAGGATTTGCTTAATATGGTAATTGGTTCAGTAACTTTTAGCTATTATTAGTAGTAATACTATTCTTATTATTATTATTATAATTATTATAGTTTATGGATAAAGGGGAGGAAGAAGTACCATGAAGTACAACTGAAGAAGTAGGTAGAAACTTGAACTGCAAGAGCCTTGGTTCCAAAACTAAGGAATGTTTAAGCAATGGGAAGCCATATTAACTTTGTTTGTTTCAAGTTTTTATTTAAATTCTAGTTAGTTAATATATAGTGTAATTATTAGTTTCAGGAGTAGAATTTAGTGATTCATCACTTACATATAACATCCAGTGCTCATCACAACAAGTGCCCTCCTTAATGGCCATCACCCTTTTAGCCCATTTCCCACCCAACACCCCTCCAGTAACCCTCAGTTTGTTCTCCATAGTTAAGAGTTTTATGGTTTGCCTCTCTCTTTTTCCCCCTATGTTTATCTGTTACATTTTTTAAATTCCACATATGAGTGAGATCATACAGTATTTGTCTTTCTCTGACTTATTTCTCTTAGCATAATACACTCCAGCTCCAACCACATCATCACAAATAGCAAAATTTCATTCTTTTTTATGGCTGAGTAATATTTCATTGTATATATATACCACAACATCTTTCTCTATTCATCAGTTGATGGATATTTGGGCTCTTTCCATAATTTGGCTATTGTTGATAATTCTGCAGTAAACATTGAGGTGCATGTGTCCTTTGGGTAAATACCTAGTGGTGCAGTTGCTGGATCATAGGACAGTTCTATTTTTAACTTTTTGAGGAACCTCTATACCACCTTCCAGAGTGGCTGCACCAGTTTGCATTCCCATCAACAGGGTCAGAGTATTCCCCTTTTTCTGCATCCTCGAAAACATCTGTTGTTTCTGTGTTGTTAATTTTAGGCATTCTGACAAGTGTGAGGTGATGTCTAATTGTAGTTTTGATTTGTATTTCCCTGATAATGAGCAATGTTGAACATCTTTTCATGTGTCTGTTACCCATCTGTCTTCTTTGGAAAAATGTCTATCCATGTCTTCTGCCCATTTCTTAACTGGATTATTTGTTTTTTGAGTGTTGAATTTGATAAGTTCTTTATAGATTTTGGATACTAACCCTTCATCAGATATGTCATTTGCAGGGGCACCTGGGTGGCTCAGTCGGGTAAGCATCTGACTTCAGCTCAGGTCATGATCCTGTGGTTTGTGGGTTTGAGCCCTGCTTCACATTCTGTGTCTCCCTCTCCCTGCTCCTCCCCCACTCATGCTTGCTCGCTCTCTCTCTCTCTCTCTCTCTGTCAAAAATAAAGCTTAAAAACATTTTTTAATTAAAAAAAGATATGTCATTTGCAAATATCTTCTCCCATTCTGTTGGCTGCCTTTTAGTTTTGTTGATTGTTTCCTTCGCTGTGCAGAAACTTTTTATCTTCATGAAGTCCCAATAGTTCATTTTTCCCTTGCCTCCAGAGATGTATCTAGTAAGTTACTGCTATGGGCTCATGTCGAAGATGTTGCTACCTGTGTTCTCCTCTAAGGTTTGTTTTTCTTGTCTCACATTTAGGTCTTTCATCCAATTTGAATTGATTTTTGTGTATGGTGTAAGAAAGTGGTCCAGTTTCATTCTTTTGCATGTTACCATGTACCATGTTACATCTTTTGCATGTTCCCGACACCATTTGTTGCAGAGACTGTCTTTTCTCCAGTGGGTATTCTTTCCTGCTTTGTTTTAATAGGAGTAACATGATTGGATTTCAATTCTAGCAAAACCACTTAGGTGACACTATGGAGAATAGATTGAGGTGATAAAGATCTGAAATATGAAATGCAGTGGAACAGAAATCAGAACTTGAAGTCAAGACACTCCTAAGGATTGGGTACTGTGCTGCGTGCTTTCCATGCACTGTGCCATTTTAGAGATAAGGAAACGTAGGTTAAAAAAATAACTTAGCTGAGGTCACACCTGCTGTGACAGTGCCAAGACTTGAACTCCTGTGTGTTTGACTAAAGCCCATGCTTTATTTACAACACCATGCAAGAGTCACACTGAACTTTTCACTATTGCCAAAAATGCTGCATATATTTGTACTGTGTATTTTGCAAATGCCATTTTCTTTGCTTAAATTCTTCTTGCTCTCTTCTTTGCCAGGCAAACATCTCATAGTTCAAAACATAGTTTCACAGTTATCATATCCCTTTCTGTGAATCTATAACATTTTATGCATATATTACTGTAGCTCTCAAGACACTATTATGATTTTTTTCAAAAGTGAATAGGCCTGCTTTCTTTATGTTATTAAACTGCATAGGTATGAATGGTGCGGTGCATCATGCTCTAGACTGTTACTATGAATGAGATACATGTGCCAGATCCCTATCAAAATTACTTAGAATCTAATGAATTTTTCATTGTTTTTTCTTTCTTTGGTGGGGGGGGGGGGAGTAGTATTTTATTATTAACCTTTAAGCAGCTGATACATCTGGTTTTTGTTCATTTTGCATTGAATATATCCTTTAGAAAATCCCTGTTTATTGTCTTTAAAAGACTATTTCAAATATACCAGCTGGGAAATATAGCAGCTAGACTAAAATTAAACCAGTACAGGCTTCAGGTTGCAAAATTCTGTGGCAACTCTTGTAAAATGGTTTTTCAAATATTAACATGACTCATTAATTTTTTCAAAATTAAAAAATTTGATTTATCCAAAGGAAAAATATCTGCATTAATATTGTGAGGTTCATGGATCTTTTGTTCATATAGATCATATAGAACACTAATGTTAACATTTTAAAGACATTGTATAGTTTTCCTATATAGGGAAATTCTGTTAACATGAAGGGAGGTTTTATAAATAGAAATGTATGTGAAATAACAAAGGACATTATATGCTCTGTATTTACACCAGCCTTTTCCAGAGAAATTTCCTCAATACAATTTCAAAAGATGCTTTTGGCCAAAGCTTTCTAAAGACAATTAAGTTTAAGTAAAACCTAACTTACCCCCATCTTGTAGATTCACATTGTACATAAAAACAGAAATCCTACAAGGGTGTGTGTGATTGTTTTCCTGGTAGGGTTTCTTAATCCTTTCTTTTCCTCAAACTGAATTGACACAAAGAATTCTCCTTTCACATAAACTGTTTTATGAAATTTACTTTGGAAACTGTTGCCTTATATCATGTGTAGTAGAGTTCATGGAAAAGGACACAGGACAAGATAAGAGTATGTCCATATATACATATTTGTATAAAGTTTTATTTTACTATTTTCTTAATATTATTAACTTTATTTGCCATGGATGAACATGAACATCAGCAGGGGGAAAAGCCACTCCAAAAGGAAACCAAACTGGAAAAAATCAAATTGGAAATTCTGAAGTGCCAGGATCATCAGAAGAATCAAATAGTGATTTAAGAAACAAAAAAAGGTAACTAGTATAGATGTTGATTCTACATGTCATAATCTAAACTATAAAGAACGAGAGATAACCAGGATACTGTTACAAGGACTTCTAATTACAACAAATATATTAGTGAAATTAGTGATTTTTAATTAAAATTGCCTTGATTCTAATCTTTAATAATGAGGAACAATTATTGCTTAAATTTATTTCTATTATAATTCTTATGTCATCAGGAGCAGCTTACTGACAGAAAATTTTGTCTTTACCTTTCTTAGAATTAGTTGTTCTACCTCACTTAGATTCTTGGTTATGGGGAAACTAATCAGTATGCTTGAGTTTCACATGGTATCATTTCATGGAGAATTATAGTACTTAAGGCAACAGTTTTTCATACAGTCTTTTGACATTAATAGAAGGGATTTTATAAACAATCATTCACAAAAGAATTACAAACAAAATGTGTTTCCAAAATTTTTATTTTCCTTTGCTATAGATATTATAATGTGATTTGAGTTTAGCTAGTACTCATACTAAATGTAGTTTATGAGCTTGAGATATGTTCTCAGGCTTTTTGAGGCTTTAATGTTACATTTGTGTTTACAGAATGTCAAATAAGATAAAATGTGAAAAGCTAATATTCATGGAATCATTTTTTAATATGACTTTAAAATCTGTCATTCCCTTTAAGTCTGTTTCTTTGGAAAAATGAAGATGATAGAGTTAATACCATTAGAACCGAGAACAATCAGGTATGATTTAAATATTTTTTGTTTAAATGGGGTATTGCAACATAATATTTATACTGAAATTGAAACAAAACTGCAGCTTAAAATGTCTAAGTTTTGTAACCTTAGAGGTGAGAGGATGGGAGATAAGCCTCAAAAAAATTCAGGAGCCTACCAATTCAGTGAAATCTTTGGGTATACTGTGGTATGGATAGGACATATTGAGGTATGTCCTAAAGTGAAAGCCAGGTTTTTATATCTTGCCCCAGTTATCACTGAGAATGAGTCATTTGATGGACCTCTTTGGAATTTGGAGAGAGATTTGCCACATTTGGATGTACTGCTCCAGTCTTTTTTTTTTTTTTTTTTTTTTTTTTTTTTTTTTTTTTGAATCAAGTAATCCAAAAGACCGCCAACTTTGGGCCCAAAGGAAGTGAAGGCTCACAAGGTGATCTGAGAGACATTGCAAACAATGTTGCCACTTGTGTTTTAATGTCCAGCTGATCAAGTGCTGGAGTACTGAGTGCAGTCTGAGTCATGTCCTGTAGGCGAATCACAGCTCAGAGCTCTTGGGTTTCAGAGCAAAAGGCACACCATCTTCAGCAATAATTGTCCTATCGTAATAGGACAATTAGATATTAATAAAATATGCTAGATTTTAATAAAATATAGATATTAATAAAATATGCTATCTTCATGCTTTAAAATTTTTGTCAGTCTAGTGGATGCTTACTGCTATTTGTGGTTTGAATTTTAATTTCCCAGGTTACCCATAAAGTTGATCATGTTTTAATATTTTTATGGACTTCAGTTTGGTAACTTTTTTTGGAAGTGCATTTTCAAGTGTTTCTTTTGGGTTGTCATATGTTTCTGATTTGTATAAGTTTTTAATATACTCTAGAGATATTTATTTGATGCTTATTTATGTTGCAAGTATCTTCCCCTACTCTGTGCCTATAGTCTACCTTGCTGAATACCTTGCTTAGTATTTCTTATCCTTATTTTTTCCCACATTCTCTTGCTAGGTAGCTGCGTATATTGCGTATATAGCAATGGTGTATTGGCATCTCCTATTATTAGTGTGTTACTGTTTATCCCTGTATCTCCTGTGGTTTCTGGTTTGTTTAGATTTCTATGTGTTACTTGGCGCAAAGTTGTTCTTATGTGAATACTAGTATCACTTTTGTGCTATGAAGTATCCTTTTTTTGACTCATTAAGTGCTTTTTTTGGTCTGAATTCTCCTTTATTGCATATCAAGATACTAACCTGTACTTTGTTTTTGCATACATTTATTTGGTATACCCTCATCTTCCTTCACACTTTTTCCCCCCAGCCTTTCTGAATTGCTTTGTTTTAGTTAGATATGTCTTTTACATATAGCCCAGATAGAGTTGGGTTTTGTTTTGTGAGAGTGTGTGACAATATTTTTTATTTAGTAGATGAATTATGTCAACTTATGTTATTGATACGACTGATGTGTTTGACTTAAGATTTGTCATTTTATGTTACAGTTACTGTGAGTTACTATGTGGTTTATTTGTACTTTTCCCCTCTCCTCGTGTTTTAGGAAGGTTGTATTTTTGTTCTAGTGTTTACAGTAATACATTTATGTTAGTATACTAGTGTTCTTTTCCCGTTTTTTAAAATTTATGCTTATGCTTTTCATTTGTTACCTCTAAAACTATCCACTGATCTGTCCTATTCAGGGTAATCAAAAAAATCTTTCTTCTCTAATGTATTTTAAGTTGTGTTACTTCTATTTTGTCAGAGCATATAACATTTATATGCCATACTTCTAGACTTAACCTCTCACCTTTGTTTTAGTCTCAGATCTGTAATTAAATATGTTCAACACACTGCCAGTTCTTTTACAGAAGACTTTTCAATCATCTCTTGGTTGGATTAAGTTCAATTTAGAAAAAGCACCTAGCGGGGCGCCTGGGTGGCGCAGTCGGTTAAGCGTACGACTTCAGCCAGGTCACGATCTCGCGGTCCGGGAGTTCGAGCCCCGCGTCGGGCTCTGGGCTGATGGCTCAGAGCCTGGAGCCTGTTTCCGATTCTGTGTCTCCCTCTCTCTCTGCCCCTCCCCCGTTCATGCTCTGTCTCTCTCTGTCCCAAAAATAAATAAACGTTGAAAAAAAAATTTAAAAAAAAAAAAAGAAAAAGCACCTAGCTACAATATTCTCTTCTTCCACATTTAAAACTTTGTCTAGAGCAGAGATCAGCAAACTAGGGCCTGCAGACTATTTTGTAAGGCCTTGGACCTACAAATATTTTTTTATTTTATTTTGTTTATTTTTGAGAGAGAGAAAGCACAAGTGGGGGAGGGGCAGAGAGAGAGGGAGACACAGAATCTGAAGCAGGTTCCAGGCTCTGAGCTGTCAGCGCAGAGCCTGATGCAGGGCTTGAACCCACGAACTGTGAGATTATGACCTGTGCTGAAGTCTGATGCTTACCTGACTAAGCCACCCAGGTGCCCTGGTTTTTTACATTTTTAAGGAATTTAAGGAAAAGAATCATGACAGAGACAATATGTGGCCCACAAAGCCTAAATTATTTACTCTCTGGCCCTTTACAAAATTTGTTCATCATTGTCTAAAGTTTTGATACCTGAAGGATAGCTTGATTGGATGTCACATCCTTGGCTTACATCTTTTTTTCCCTTGAGTTTAAAATGTTGCTCTACCGATGTTTTATATGTTACTGTTAAAAAGTGTGATGCCGGGGCGCCTGTGTGGCGCAGTCGGTTAAGCATACGACTTCAGCCAGGTCACGATCTCGTGGTCCGGGAGTTCGAGCCCCGCGTCGGGCTCTGGGCTGATGGCTCAGAGCCTGGAGCCTGTTTCCGATTCTGTGTCTCCCTCTCTCTCTGCCCCTCCCCCGTTCATGTTCTGTCTCTCTCTGTCCCAAAAATAAATAAACGTTGAAAAAAAACATTAAAAAAAAAAATGTGATGCCTGGTTTTCTTTTCTTTGTAAACTGGCTTGGGTATATTTGTCTGGAAGGTCAGAGGATTCATTTAACGTGTACTAGTTTTACCGGGCTGAATCTTAGCTCAGAATTCTAGATCAGGTTTTTCTGGATACATAGTGGATCCTTGCAGTATGAAAATCCAGACATATTTCAAGAGCATTTCCTAAAATTATAATTTCAGAAAACAATTTAGGTAGCAGATCTATTGTTTCATTTTTTTCTTTACCTTTTATATACGTTATCTTTTCTCTGATCTATTTCACTTTTTTTTGTTTGTTTGTTTCATTTCCTTTGCATCTTTTATTTGTATTCTCCACTATCCTTACTGTATTTTTGGTCATATTTGTTGCTTCTTGGGTACTTGCTAATTTATTCATTTCTGAGACAATTTTGTTTTTTAATTTCTTTCTTCACTTTAGCCAACTTCCATTTCACATCTTCCTGTTTTTCCATTTTTATTCTGAGTTTTAAAATTCTTGATTTATTGTGTCTGTGGTATCTGCAAATGTTTATTTATATTTAATCTGTGTTGGAAGTATTGTTTAAGTTTTTCTCTGCTTCATGGCTGTCTGTTTGGTTTTAGTTCTCAATTGTGAAGGTTTTTTTAAAATGTAAATTTGTGTGGATGCTTGAATAATTTGTAGATATTGTTCATGTTTATTTGTGTTAATTTTTCTGTTTAAGTAATAACTTATTTTTATATATTTTTTATTTTTATTTTTATAGAGGAACAGGGAGCCCTGTGTTGGTGGTTTCTTTTGCTTCTTAGGTTGGGTGCTCCCTCTTCTGTTCATATAGTGAAATGCAGTTATTTATTTATTTTTAAATAAATGGGGCTTTTGGGGTCTGTTTTCTTTGAATTCTTTTCTACTAACTTAATTCAGCAGAGCTGTTATCTTGGCCACTTTCTTCTTTTCTCTTACCAGCTATCCCTGAGGGAATATCTTTTCCAAAGTATTTTCCTCTCTTCAAAGCTGTCTTCCCATGATTACCACTCAGGCCCCCTACATTTTATAATCCCCTTTCATTTGGCCTCCTCATCAAAAGTGCTCTGATTTACAAGATTTTATCCTTACTCTCAGGATTTCTCCTATGCATGTGGAGCCCCCTCCTTCCAGGCTAAATCATGGTTGATGTTTATTGTGTTATCTTTGTATAGTGGCCTCTAATGCTTAAGCAGTCCACATCTGCTTGGAGGTGGGCTCCTGAGCACACTCTGCTGGTCTAGGGTGTTTATTTCCCCAGTTATATGCAAATTAAAGTATATGTAAATTAACGGATTTTGTGTCCTAGTTATGCTGTAGACATAAGTTATGGGTATTATTTGCTCTCTTTTTATAGCAATTGGAAGGATATGTGGAGAGATTGTAATTTAGGTGGTTGCCATTATTCTGCAGGAGACTGAACTTATAAGTTAATAATGTAACATAACATTAAAAACCAGAAAAAGAACAGTAAAACAAAGGAGTAAGGGCTTAATGAAGATAGAAGGAGACACTAATAACTTAGAGGTAAAAAACTAGCAGAATTGAAAACAACTCAAGATCTATGAAGTGATGGTGGGAGAGACATCCACATTGGTAAGGCTCGAGGTAGTTTATCATAAAAGGGTAGAAACACAAAAGTTAAGAAAGATAAAAGTGACACAAACACAAATACAGAGCCAATAAAATATATGCTAAATTTTGAAAATGCAATTAGTTTTCTTATTTTCTAAGCAGACATAAGTTATCAAAATTGGCTCAAGATAAAAAAAAATCAATAGTCATCTTAGAAAAATGTTAAAGTTATAAGAAATCTGGGAAAGAAATCATGTTTACAAAGTAATAATGGATTTTTTTTTTCTTTTAAGTTTGAAGTACCTGTGTATAATGTCCAAGTAATAGTGGAATAGAGAAGTTGAAGCACAAGAGAGAATCTATAGTTATAAATACAGATTTGGGATTTTGTCACCATATAAGTAAAAAAAAAAAAAAATGCATTGCTGTTGTACATTATCACATGCTTACAGACAGGTGAAAAATGTGTTATTCTACCAGATCTTACTGGTTTTCATGTTTGCTTACAGATAGGTAAGAAAGAGTGCATCACCCTACCAGATCTTACTGATTTTCCTTCACTTCCTTGTCAACCTGCTCTTTCTCCAGTAATAACTGATATCTCTTTATTACAGATTGAAAGTAAGTATGATGATACCGTAAGTACAAATAACTCTGTGAGGTAAAGTTAAATATTAATGGAGGGGCACCTGGGTGGCTCAGTCGGTTGAGCATCCGACTTCGGCTCAGGTCATGATCTCACAGTTTGTGAGTTCGAGCCCTGTGTCGGGCTCTGTGCTGCCAGCTCAGGGCCTGGAGCCTGCTTCAAATTCTGTGTCTCGCTGTGTCTCTGCTCCTCCCCTGCTCACGCTCTGTCTCTCTCTCAAAAGTGAATGAAGATTTAAAAAAAAAATTTTTTTTTAATAAAAAAATATTAATGGGGAATTATTGTCCAATAGGTACAGAGTTTTAATTTCGGAAGATAAAAAAGTTCTAGAGATGGACAGTGGTGATGGTTGTACAGCATCATAAAAGTACATAATGCCACTGAACTGTACATTTAAAAGAGGTTAAAACTGTAAATTTTATTATGTGTATTTTACCACAAAAATGTTAAATTATTTTAAAGTATGTGAATTATATGTTAATTACTGCATATATTTAATCAGTAATATTATTTGCAGGTAAAATTTATTCTTGCTATTTTAAGCACTTTTAAGTTTTACACTCCCAACTTTTAGCTTTTGGACATTGACGGGTTATAATCTTTTAGGAGAGAAGATTATTGAACAACTGAAACAAGTAAAGAAAGAAAGAAGATATCTGGAAAGAATTAGAGAAGAACTAATTAAAAAAGTTGAAAAACTATTTGAACAAAGCAAGTTGAAGCAATGTCACGGTAAAATTTATTACATCTTTTATCACTATTTTATCATTAATTAACATACTTTACATAAGGTTTTTTAAAATTTAAGTTCAAATTTTTTTATAACATTCCTTTATTCATTTACTAAATAAGTATGTATTGTCTACTGAACTTAGCCACTGTTCTAGGGGCTGAGGAGATAATAGGCAGACACAATTTTGCCTCTGCCCTCAAAGAGCTTATAGTCCATTGGGGACACGATAAGAAAACAGTAACAATACATCCTGATGATGCTATGATAAAGGAATTACAGAATTGTATGCACAGGAGTACAGAAGAAGAACACCTAAATTAGATGGAAGAGATCAAGAAAGCCTTCCCAGAAAACTGTTAAATATGCTTAAATCTGAAGTGTGCCTCCTCTTGGCTGTAGGCTTTCAGACATGCTTTCCCTCTGCCATCTACACATCTCCTTTTCCTTCTACCCACCCCTTCCCAGTTTACCTGGCTAGTTCCTACTAATCATTCAGTCTCAGCTTAGATATTACCCTAGAATCATCCCCTGAATCCCTTAGTCTTCTCTACATGCTTAATTTTGTGGTATGTGTGTCTGTTTTGCCAAACTGAATGAATGAATGAATGAATGAATGAATAAGAGAAATTAAGTAGAAAAATAGGTAGTTTTCCTGCAACAGAATTAGAAACAAGTGTTACTAGGACTAGGTAGAAATAGAAAAACAAGCCAGGGTAGAGAGATGTTAAAGGATTTGAGAAGACTGCATTTTGGGTGGTATTGGAGGATTATATGAATAAAAGGTATATATGGAATTAACTGGTTGTAGGATTCTCAATTTACAGCAAAATTATTACTTCAGTGTTAGAACTGACTGAGTGTTATAGGCAATGTCAGGAGGTATTTCTGCAGGTTCTACCTTATTAAGTGGTGTCCTGGAAATGATGGCAATGACTAAGTTTTGTCGTACTGTTAAAAGTGATTTTATCAGACAAATTTGAGTAATGGACTAGAAATCACAGGACCAGGATTCTAATACCAGATCAGTGATTTATGTAGACAAGTTATTTCTCCTCTTTGTGTCTTCCTTTTTCTGTTTATAAAATGAGAATATCAGGGGTGCCTAGGTGGCTCGGTTGGTTAAGTGTCAAACTTTGGCTTAGGTCATGATCTCATGGCTCATGGGTTCAAATCCCCGCGTCAGACTCTGTGCTGGCAGCTCAGAGCCTGGAGCCTGCTTCAGATTCTGTATCTCTTTCTCTTTTTGCCCCCTCCCCTGCTTATGTGCTCTCTTGCTCTCTCTCAAAAAGAAACATTTAAAATGAGAATGATTACTTTCTATTTCAACAGGAATGTTTCAAGATAAAAAGCATGTATCAGCTATCAAATACGTAGGAAGCCTACTATGTGCATCAATTCCTTGCATTGTTTTAAATGCTGAGGATACAGTAAACAAGATGAACATGGCCCTGCCCTTAAGGAGCTTTCTTCTAATGCAAGGAGATAGATGTAAACAAATAAGACAATATCAGCTCCTGATTAGAGCTCAAAAGTCCCTTTAAAAGAGCAAAGAGTGATGGGGCAGAAAAAAATGTTTTAGCTTGAATTTTCAAAGAAGGCATCACTGAGGAGATATCATTAAGATGTAATTAATAAGGAGGCAGGCATCTAAAAAGATAAGAGAAAAAAAAAAAAAAACAAAAACCAGTCCAAACAGAAGGAACACTAAAATGTCAAGGTCCAGAGATGGAAGTGAACTTGCAGTATTAAGGAGCTGAAATAAGGCCAGTGTGGCTGGAACTTAATATGGAGGAATGTAGAGGAAGATAAAATCAAAAGCTCACCAAGGAACAGACAGGCCAATTTAAGGAGCTTAGATTCTATTCTAAGATGAGAAGCCATTGGAGGATTTTTAGAGATGTATAGGACTTTAAAAATATTTTTAGAACATCAGAATGACTGCTGTATGGAATAGCCCATAGAGGGGCAGGAATGGAAGCAGAGAGACCAGTTAGAAACATAATCCACTTTCAAAAGATGATTGTGCACTGACTAGGGACATAGCATTGAAGAAGACAGGATGTGCCAGATGCTGGAAGTATTTTACAGTAGTACCAATAGAACTTGCTGAGGGATTAGATATAGGACATGAGGGAAATAAATAGTTAAAATCTTGAGTTAAAATCCCATAAAGTTGTAGAATTTTAATGAAATCAACTTTTATATCTGGGGTTTTCATTTCTTTGATAATTTTTTAAAAGAGAAGCATAAGCATATTCTGATATAGTAGCATGCAGTTTGTGTTCCTGTTAAGTTTGTATTTAGAATCTCATTGGGTCAAAATGATTCCCTAAATTGGCAATATTTGATTTCTAATTTTCTCAACTACAGGGCTCAGGCTTAAATTCTGCCCTACATACATTTGGGGATATATCTGGAATAATTTTAATAAGTGATAAATCAGAATCAGCTTATTTTATAAAACATAAGTCATTTAAGGGGATGAAAAAATATTATGCCTTTCTCTTCATTGTTTTAATTATGATTTGAAATCAGACTATGGAAAAAGTAATCAAAATAAATATACACATTTTTCTATAGGTAGTATTTTTAATCAAGATTTTTCAGAAATAATTACAAGCTTAAAGAACTTGGTTTGGTTCCTGGATTCATCACTATTTTCTATATTTGTAGGCCAATCCTTTTATTATCTAATAAACATTTCAGTCTTTGCTTTAATTTCCTCAGCATATGAGGAAGGAAGAGTGGGGGAGTAGAAGGGTTTAAATTAACTCAAGGGTCCTTTCCGAGTTGAAAAGTTTAATCCTTTAGTCAGACTCACATTCTAGTCCTTGCTTTTTTTTGTAGCCTGTGATGATTGGAAGAAAAAATACTTTGAAACAAAGAAAATCACAGCATCGTTGGAGGAGGTTTTAACAAAACTTCGAGAAGATTTAGAACTTTACTATAAAAAACTGCTCATGCAGCTTGAAGCCAGGGACATTAAGATGAGACCAAAGAATTTGGCAAACATCACAGACTCTAAGGTACTTATTACTAAATGTGTTCACATTCTATTAGAGAAGTTCTACTCAAAATGCATGTTTTATTATTGCTAGTATTATCATAGGTAGAATGCTTTGGGCTACGGGTAACAAAAACTTGACTTAACCAATAAGAAAATTTATGATCTCATGTAATGGGTGCTGAGAGGATACAATTAGGAGCTTAATGAGATCTTTAAGGGACTATGTGCTTCTGGCATTCCTTACCCATTATTTTCAGCATTGGCTTCATTATAAGACTGCTTGTCCTCATGGTACCAATAGAGTTGCCAATGGCAAGTAGGGCTATCTGCCTCCTAAAGAAGAATATATAAAACTTTTCTCCAGTCTTACACTAATATTATACACCAATTATATCTCAGTAAGGTATATAACATAATTATTTATGTATGTATTATGAAATGATTACCATAATAAATTTAGTTAACATCCATCATCTCACAGTTACAGATTATTTTTCTTGCAATGAGAACTTTTAAGGTCTATTTCCTAAGCAATTTTCAAATATACAATACTGTTAATTGTAGTTATCATGCTGTACATTACATTCTCAGAACTTATTTTCACCCCAAGTTTGTGCCTTTTGACCACTTTCACCCATTTCCCTTCATTTTCTACCCTCTGGCAACCACCAATCTGTTCTCTGTTTCTATGAGTAAAAGTTTACCATTTTAGATAAATCTAATGTAAAACTCAAATAGGTTCAAGTAATGGATTATCCATCTTAGCTGATACTAATTATCTTGCATAGCTGATTTTTTTTGTTTTATCAAGTTCAATATACAATTTTTTTTCACAGAGGCAGCTTAAAATTTTAAATAGTTTTTGTTGACCATTATACCTCATAAACTTTTCTGAACAAAAATAACTAAAAAAGCTTCTTATATTAAATAGGTTTTCTTATATATAGTATTTATTTATTAAATATTTTAAAGTAATACTATCCAATTCAGCTGATAAATTGTTATGACAATTTCAAAAGCCTTGCTAGTATCTTAAACCTAGTATATTCCTTTTATAGTAATATTTCTTACCATTAAATTGGCACCACAAAGGCAACTTGCACAAATATCTACTTATTTTTATAAAACATGAATAAATGTAATACAACAGAAGGGAATGTGGTCCCTAAGACATAAGAAAAAGGTCAATTCTAATTTACTCCAAAGCAATGAGTTTATTTTATGCAATAGGTTATTCTTATGATTTGCTTTTTTGGTATTTGTTATCACTTGATAGTTTGCAAGACAATTAAAAATAAAAATAAATAGGGGCACCTGGGTGGCTTAGTTGGTTAAGTATCTGATTCTTGGTTTTGGCTCAAGTCATGATCTCACAGTTTGTGAGTTCAAGCCCCACATCAGGCTCTACATTAACAGCGTGGAGCATGCTTGAGATTCTCTCTCAAAATAAAGAAACAAACTTAAAAAAATAAAAATAAATAAAAATGAATTTACTAAATGTCTTTGTTTCATACAGAATTACCTTATAATCCAGATCACTGAGGTACAGCATGCTATTGACCAACTTAAGAGAAAACTGGATACTGACAAAATGAAACTCATAATGGATGCTAAGGTAATTTGCATTTCTCCTAATCAGACAACATTTATCTTGAAATAAATTGTTTTAATTTTGGGTATCAAAAGCCTAAAGATAGTACAGATTGTCTTAAAGTCATTACCTTAACCAAGAGCATGAGTGAGAAAAATGCAAGAAGTAAATCCTGTGAAAAGATGCCTGTTATAACAAGGCCAAAGTAAAATTTCACTAAGAATTAAAGCAAAAGGACCTTGTGACTCAGTAGAGTCTCAATATTTTAAAAGTAATTTATTTACGGATGACTCTAATATATGAAAGTCTGACAAACCACTTAGCTCTCTGAGCTCAATTTTTTTTTTAACCCATTCTAGGGTAAGTCTCTCATTCTGATTATTTTCATGTATATATAATTAATGCTCTAGGGGCGCCTGGATGACGCAGTCGGTTAAGCGTCCAACTTCAGCCAGGTCACGATCTCGCGGTCTGGGAGTTTGAGCCCCGCGTCAGGCTCTGGGCTGATGGCTCAGAGCCTGGAGCCTGTTTCCGATTCTGTGTCTCCCTCTCTCTCTGCCCCTCCCCCGTTCATGCTCTGTCTCTCTCTGTCCCAAAAATAAATAAACGTTGAAAAAAAAAATTTATAATTAATGCTCTAAATTCATTTCTTTATCAGAAATAGCTCTATGACATGAATAATGACCCCTTTCTAGAATGTCCATTGTTCTACAGTGCTGGAAATGTTCCATATCTGCACTGTCAGATACAGCAACCACTAGCCACATAAGGATATTGAGCACTTGAAATGTAGCTTGTTGTGTGACTGAGGAACTGATATTCAATCTTCATATAATTTGTTAATTTATATAGCTATATGTGGCAAGTAGCTACTGTATTGAATAGCCCAGTTCTAGATTCTTTTCACTAGCAGCATTCAGTTAGGACCCTCTGAATTTTAGAACAGTAAAATGAAAGCTAATTTTTGAAAGGTAATTGTTTTTGTAGGTGAGAAAACAAGCAGTTTCAGATTTATGCATGCTGAAAACTGAACTGGCACAGAAGAAAAATAACACATCTGTACAGCCTCAATTGGGTATGTTAATTTAAAACTTATTTGCCAAAAAAATGTAACCATTGTTTTCCTTGGTGCGATACTTTATATAAATCATAAGTTATATATTTTTTTTGCTTTTCATTTGGGTTTCAAAAAATGTTTCAGGAACTATTAGATGTAAAAAAGCAAAACACTAGCTATTTGGTTATTTTTGAAGTTTTTAAGTCTATTACACATTTTACAGTACTATATTTTATAAAATAGTCTTAAAGTTTAATAGCAATATTTCATATTTATTAAAATATGATTTAAAGAATCTATCTGCATTTAAATACAGACCATTTATTCATTGTATTTGATTATAAACTATAATTTCTAGATTGCTTTTAAATAGGGATATTGAATTTACATCCAGAGCTATGATAGAGATTAGTATCTAAGAATTCAAATTTTTTAAATTTTAGAAATACAAAGACAATAGTAATTCAACAAATACTATGGAAAATGGTTGGTTTCACTCTGTCATAAATAATTGGATAAATAGGAAGTATTCTCAATAACAGGTGACTGAATCATCATTTATTCCAAATGGGGGAAGAGGGTGAAATGTACAGAGAAGACAGGATTTATGTAAGTCCAGAGTTCAAGGATGCAGATTTTTAAGAAGTGTAACACAATTGCCCTGAGGAAAAGAACAGAGACCTCTTTACATTTAGAAAAATTATCTTTTAGAGAGATTTTTGTGCAGAGAAAAACCAATGTCTTTAAATAATTAAAGGAAAAATGCACATTATAGATGTTCATAAATGAAGGAATATTAATAGAATCATGTTCAACACTAAGTTTTTCCTGAAAGTTTCTGCTATAACCTCATAAAAATAATTTAGGTAAAAAATATTAGGTAGTTCTAACATACTAATTCCAAATATGACTTATATTTTATTTTTTCCTCTGGAGGCTTTCAGAGAATTTGAGTACTATATGAAATCAGGAAGCAGAAAAATTTTTGGAACAAAAAGTACAGAGCTAACTGCTTCTCAAAGACTAGGTTTTAAAAAATCTAGTCTAAGCAAATAATTTCCAATTCAAATTATACATATTTTAAAAATCAGCAATAAAATTCTGAAAACAATTTTTCCTAATTATAGTATTAAACACAGAAGAATAAATATAGCAAGTTGACTTCTTACCTTTGTTTTTAGATAACCAAAGCATTTATCTGCTTTTAATTGCTTTTAAATATAACTAAATTATATGACAAAAATGTATACATTTTCATTTCTTCAAGAAACGGATCTATTTATACAGATCATTTTTCTAAATCTTAGTTTGACAAAAGATGCTCATCTGTCACAGCTTTGGGTTTAAGACTTTCCACATTTCTTCGGTTTGCTGTTTGGCTACAGCATCTCCAGAGTAGTCAAGACAATTTGCGTGCCACATGCCAATGCCTCGTAAGCCATGCTTTTGTATGTATGCTGCCTTTAAAGAAATGCTCTGAGGGTTATCATACCACACTTGATGCAAATGGCCAGAAGAATCCTAGAAGAAGAAATTAAACTATTCAGCACAATATTAAATCCAATGACTCAAAAATGATACAATGAAATAAAGATTTTAGGGCACAATATTTTCTGCTTCCATGATTCTGTATGTGGTACTTTCTAGATATGATTGTGGTGAGTTCACAACAGAAGAGAACAAATGAACTTCATAATACATTCTATATAAAGTCCTTCTCATGCCCTAAGATTCCTTCCTTGGTCTGATCTGATGATTATCAACCAAGATGTACATCTGAAGCACTTGTGTGGCTTTAAAAAATACAAACTACTGGGACCCACACCACATGAAAAAATCTTCAGGGCTGATGACAGGGCATACATTTGTTTTGTGTTTTGCCATTCCATTAGATAATTCTGATATGCAGACACAGTTAAGGAGGATCACTGCTCTGGTCCTCTAAGCCAGTTTATGTATTTTTTTTTCTTCTACAGTTCCTGGAAATGTGCCTAATTAAGAACTCAGCAGATGACTTCATCTGTGATGAATCAGTCATATCAAAAGGTAATGGGTGAGGAAAATATCTCCTTTTCCAGGTCTTACAGAATTGATTTTAAGAGCCTGTCGGGTGTGGATTCCATGGGTAACTTATGCACACACATTTTTGTAGATGAGAAAATCTGAAAATGGTCTTATGCTCACCTTCCACCCTTTAAAGTCCTCCTCAGCATCAACTGCCTCTAGTACTAACACAGTCTCTCCTAGAAGGTAGATAAGCTATTGGATAAAAGAAAGAGAAAAGGAACAGAAAAACTAGGCAAAGGGTAAAGGAAAGGGGGAAAAGATAGGAAATAAAAAATAGAATCAACTGTGATTTTAAATAATTATACTGATTTTTATATACATCTGGGAAACTTTTAAAGGCAATTCTCAATGGATGCCAGTAATAATTTTATTTATGGTAGCACCACTGGAATTAGGACTACTTTGCAGGACATTAGTCACTTGGTAAATGAAAAAACTGGCATATTTAAGTATAGTAGGCTCATTTACTACAAGCATATTTTATATTCTATTTAAAATTTTAAACTGTGATTCACTATTAAAAGGCAACCTCTATGTAAATATAGAAATATTTATTTTTGCAGGTTCAGGGATGAATCCAAAGACACATATCTCTTTGCCATTATTTAGTGAGTATTTTGAGCCCTTTTGATACTGTTAAGAAATTTCAAATACCTCAAAGTAGTGAAGGATGAAAGGATGAAAAACTGAGCATATGTAAAATTGATCTATTCATGATTAAGGCATACATATGCTTTTGGGAATATTGAGTGCATGATGAGGCTGCTATGGCTCAAACAGCATAAGAAAGCAAAAACGATTCTCTTCAATCACAAGAAACTTGATTTTGGTTGCTATGGAATTTTACAATGAATGAAAAAGAGGAACAAAACAGTTTTATAGCTAAACTGTTGTCTAAAGTGCCATTAAATAAATGGCTTTCAAAAGGTTTATCAAAAGGCTTCCTGAATTGTAAAACCTTAAAGAATTTGTCATATTCATTAAGGAAAAAAATAAGTCAGGGACTACAAAAAATAGTACCCCAGAGTGTAAAATATTACACTGTTTGGCAAAGACAAGATTATAATATACCCTAGTTTAATGGGTATATAAAGGTATAGAAATCTCTACACCAAAGCTTTCTATATAATTGATATATATGTACATGCCTGTATAGCAAAATTTATTAAATATTTTTCATAAATTGGGACCAGGCCATTATTAAGGAATATAAATTCCTACTGGAATCAACTTACATCATATTTTAGGGCTCCTTTTACAGTAACAGAATCTAAAGTAAATTCAAAGATGGCTTATAATTGAGGTGTGTGGAAAAGTTTGTATTATATTAAAGGTAAATTATGAAAAATATTACTTTTGCCTCTTTGTATGGCAATTACTATTTATCAAACACTACCTGACAGAATTGCTCTTGTCATTTCCTCTACTTCTTCAAGTTTCTGTTTGTAATATAATTTGTCTAATGTCACATAGTTTATACCATTTTCCACTGATTCCATGATGATGCATTCTTTATTCTCAGCCTCATGCCTCCCTATAAAAAACAGCCTCATCAGAACCTTTAGGCTACCTTGAAATGAAGGCTTACTGAGTGGTAACCTATTTTGGCCCAAAGCCACAGTTATACAAAGCTGTCAATTATTACAGGAGACCCTGTTTGTGATATGCATGTTTTTATAACCTTATCTAACATGACAAGTGGCCCATGCAAAGAAGTTATATTATTAGCATAAGTTGAACTGCTCAGCTAGAAAGTAAAGTACCTGATTACAAGTTTACTCATCTAAACTCTATGTTGTACCCTAAAAGAAAACTGATAGAAATTCTTAATATCAAATATGTAATTATGAAAACATGCAGTTATGAAAACAGAATGTTCATAACTTGTGAAAAGTCTTACTTTATAGTTATAGTAAGAGGCCTGCTGATTTTTATCCCAGTGGCTTCCAGAAATAGAACTATTTACGTGCTTCATAATTATTTTATAGGGCACCTGCTGTCCTGAAGCAATACCACAAGAGGCCCTCCAGGAAGGGACTTTTGGAATGGTACAAACACGATCCTAGAAATATAAAATGTTCATGTTATACATTTATCAGTTAAGCAAGTCTTAGAAACCCAATCAGAAAATGTAATCAAAAACTATTAAAAATAAAATATGTACTATAAATAACCTGACTATACCTAATAAAAGTAAAAAGAAAATATATAACATTCAGAAACTTCCATGGGATTAAATAATTAAACGCTACCTTTTTAGTCTCAAACTATGTTCATATACAAAACAGGCTCCAAAAATATAATAGAGAAAAAAATCATATAGGAAATAATCTGTTCTTACCTCCAATAGCTTTAGACAGGTATAGTCATAACCATACCAGGGGATACCCATTACAAGTTTCTCAGGGTTAATGCCGATCTTGATGTAGTCATCATACCCTAATCAAGTTGGGACGGAAAAGGCATATTTTTTTCTTTATATTCTACTAATGGGTTTATACAAGCTATTCAACTATTCGGAAGCTAAGTTTGAAAAAACAAGTACATTTATGCAAAATACCAATAAGAGTGTTTCTCTAATATGACATAAGTGATTTGTTTTGAATATTAGAACACATTTAAAACAAGATCAAATTGAAGCAAAAAACTCATAAAATTTATTTCTAGGAAGAATGACACATTTCAGGAAAGCATGTTAATTGTGTATTAACTGCTAAGACATGATACAACTCTCTGGCAGGGATGGCCTCAGAATTTCATATAGCATATTTCTATAACATGGAACAATTGTGCTTTCTATAAGTATGAATTACAGCTAGGGACAAGAAATGTCCCCCAATTACTCTGTATTCAATCTATAGTTAGGAAACAAAGAAATATGAACAGATTCCTGGTCAGTCCCTGCTGTGCCCAATGCTGCAAAATGTTTTCCCACCCAAAGATGTTCCAAGATTATCAGAAAGTTGAATTAAGTAAATTTGCTGTTTTTAAGAGCCTTTATTGTGTACTGTTAAATATCCAAGAGAGGGGTACAGTATGCCTTATTTCACAAACATATTTGATAATGAGCCTAATATTGTTAGGACACAATTATCTCCTTTATGAAACATAGTTTGGAAAAATGAATTACTTTGTAGTTTTAACAGTCATTTTCCAAATTATAAGTGGCATATGCATATGATCAGATTATTAATTTGGACATGATGAGGCTAGGTTCTAAGATTTTTCTCTCTAAATTGAAAAATATTTTTTTATTAATCAATACTTAAAGCAGGGCCAATTATCTCAGAAAATTTCACTTGAGTCCAAAAGATAGCAAGAAATCTTTTATTGAATTGGCTGATGTGATATGAATGATAGATCAGAAGTACTCTTAATTCTAATAGTGATATAGCATGGGTGCTAATAATAAATGCCAAATAAGACAGTCCTCTATCAATCATGCACAGTAGCTACTCACATTATAACTATCTTTGCTATTAGCTAACATTGGTTATTTCAACAAAAATATCATGTCAAATTCTAGATAAGCAAATATCTCCTTTATGTAACTTTGGGAGAAAAGTTTTGACTTGAAGTTAGAACACCTGCTTGAGCCCCAAGTAAATAATACTCAGTAGCAATACAAAGAGAACTTAACACTCATCATCCCATCTATAATAGAGGATTAATAATATATCTATCCCACAAAATGTTTAGAAGAATTAAGTGAAAACTTTATGTAAACTTGAAAGCTCCCCAAATTAAGTGATATTCATGTTTCAAGAAAGCTTTACAAATGGAAAAGGTATACAAATGATTTAGAAATACTAAAATAACCTTAATGTTAAAGTGATCATTTTGTGGATTCTTACCAGTTAATGTCTCCTTATAGGGAGCATTGGCTGCTGCAATACATTCTGACAAGGCCGGACTTTGTTCATCATAAGACATCACAAAGAGAAAGTCACAAGCATCTGCAATTCCAGTGTAATTATAGCACCTGTCTTTGCACTTTGGAGACCAAGTTACATCAAAGGTTACCTGTGGAAAAACACGTACCATTTTATGTAACATGATCAAATATGCTTATTATGTCAGTTTTTTATTATATATATTTGCTTCATACTACCCAAGAAAAAAAGATCTATTTACATATATGAACATAGGGTTCTATATGCTTATAGAAGTAGAACAGTTCTAAGATATTTTTACGCAGATGTGTTAACCCAGACATATATTTGGACAGATACAATGACCAGGAGCGGGGCACTGTGTAGAAGAGGAATTTTAAATGTCTTTAGAGGCTAGACTGGTACCTCAACTGATTGAAAGAAATAGACGTAATGACAATAGGGTGTAGATGGGTCACTAAGCAACTAAAGAGTAAGCACAACTAAAATAATTCAAGTACAGAAGTTTTTAAAAATATTGTGTGGGCTAGATAGGTCATCTCTTGGTACAAGTTGACTGTCCTGGGTTGGGAGTCTAATGTTCAATTATGTTACATGATAGGTTTAATCCAACATTACAGTTAAAGAAAGTGGTTTATGGCTATAGGGATAAACTAATCAACTCAAAATGTTGAACAAATCACTTAAATGTTATTTTATGGGAATATTCAAATAAAACCTGAATGATGAATTACCTTTCATTTTTGTAAGCCAGTCTTCAAAGATGAGTCTCTTTAAAATGTTTATTGCCTTAACCAGATATTAATTTGCATTATTTTATATATGGGCAAATGTTCTAAAGCATCATTAAAGGTTTCTTTTTCCTTTAGATACTCATTAAACACATTAATTATTACAAAAATTAAGATAATGCAATTAAAATTTTTACACTTTGGCCAATTTATTGTTATAGAATTTTGACAAAGTCCTAAAAAGAGTTGTAATTCTCTATTAACACTAATGTAATCTCAGCTTTATAAGTACAAGCTTTCCTCAATAG